TGGGAAAGTCTTGCATTCCCACAGAGATGTAGAAAGAAAAACGTTAAATCTTCTTGACAGAAAAATATTTGCTATGGTTAGACCTATTCTTAGTGCTTTGGGTATATTTTAAGTATTACGTATATACTTTGAAAGCCATATCTGTTCATGTATTTTTTTTAAATAGAAGAAAATATGAGTAGAGTTTTTATAATCGTGAGATGGGTGGCACTACAGTCAAATTTCATTTTTTTAAAAGGTAATTTGTAAATAAAATTGGGAAACCTCAGAATGCTAGTCATATCTTGCCCTGTCCGATGTCTCCCTTCACCCACTTTTCGGTTGTCTGTCTCCCAGGGAGGAGGTCACACACAGTTCCATGTAATCGGTTCTTTCTACCCTATTTTCATAACACTTGTCAAAGTTTTTTTTTCTCTTATTGTTTAAGAATGTCCCTGGCTAGATTTTATGGCCCAAAGAAGCGTACAACAGTCTGCCTGGCTAGCACTATACCCTCAGCACCTGTCACAAGTAACTAACACAGCAGATGCTCATTTTTTTTATCATATACATTGATAATTTCAATTATGTTAGTATCAAATCTTTGTGGGTTTAGTAATCTTTATTTTATCTCTAGGTTTACATTGTCCGTTTCTACTCTTATTTTGTTGTTTCATAATGTAATTTCCAGATAGCACTTTTTTTTTTTTACTAATTATTGCGGAACTACTTTTGCCTACCTGCAACTCATACCAATTTATGGATGCAAATATTAAAATGTAAATTTGTTAATTATATTTTAAGTGATCCAGAAAAGCTTACTCTTTAAAAAATTTCCTTTGGGGATCATTTTATATGCAAAAGGATATCCAAAAAGAATTAAAACAAACATTCTGTATATAGCCATCATTTGTTATATGGAATGAAAATGGCAATGTATCCAGGAAAAATGGTCATTTCAGTATTTTTGTAAAAATTCTACTGCAAAGTCAAAGAATAAAATAAATATCTACCATCTTTTATAGAAACAATTTCAAATACATTTCCTCTTGGAAAATTATATTCTTTCCCCACAAACTTTTTGAAGCCCTTTATAATGCAATTATCCAGTCTTATGTCAGGCTTTCCAAGTATCATTTTTATTTATCATTTTAGTTTTTACATGGGTTTTTTGTAGATGTTTATATATTCTATGCATAAATATGCCTAGCCAGAGATATTTGTAAGCACAGTTACTTGTTCTCTTTGGATTATATTTCTGAGAGTGATAGGAGCACAGCTGCTGGAAGATGGTGTTTATGTGAGTCTTAGGAAGTCCTTTGTCTTACACAACTATAATACTCAAGGGACCCACTTCACTTTTCTCCAGTGTTGAGATGTTTGACGGTTAAACAGTGTTGAAGGTTATGAAGTATAAAGTGCAGCTCCATGCCTTTGTGAATCTGTATGATTAATGCATTCCATTATTTAAAGCAAAAAGCTGTGATTTAATCAAAGCATATACCATTTTACATGTAATAATGCTAACTCCATATTAACAGAGGTCATCTCAAAACAAACATGACGCAGGCTCTCATGAAGCTGAGCGGCAGAATGAAGGTCAAGGAGTGGCAGAAATCAGCATGGCAACATCTGGTAGTGGTCAGGTAAATGTATTATTTTGTTTTTTAATTAAGCATTCTAAATACACCTGGAGTCAAGAGCATTTCAGAAGAATCTGTAAAGCTTAAGTGTTTCTTTAATCCTGAATGGTGTAGCTAGAAGCATTCTGTACCAAAAATTATTACATTCCTTTATTATATCTAACAATAATGCTTTCAATTTTTCTAAGTATTTTTAATCTCTAAATTTTGTATTTGTTTTAGTAAAAAATGAGTGGTTTTGAGTAGAGTGTTTTAAATAATATATGTGATTTGTCCTAGGTATTATTGCTTGCATCAAATAGAGTTGCTTTATCCCTAAGGCATTCTATGTAAAGAAATTTTTAAAGTTATAATCATTAGGACTTAGGATAGTTTTCGTCTCCGTTTTACTTCAAGATTGCATAAGTCTAGACATGTAACTCTACTGAAGAAGATAACCCTAATGCTTGTAAAGTTCCAAGAAATGGGGAGAACAACTTGGAAGGTGTAAGGGCCACACAGCTTACAGGATGTAACCCATGGCACTGCACTGTACATGTCGAAATCGTTGATTGGTCTATGTTCCGTGTGTGTATTCTTAACAGCAATAACAGGAAAATATGTAGCCTAATCTTCTTGAACTATTATCTCATCTATTTTAGCAGTATTATG